ATTTTATACATCAAACATTTAATATTGAACATGAGTCCGGTCTTGACCGCCTTATCATTACGTCTGGACACATCCATATCTGCAGCAGATGCTCATTTTTCTTCCAGATGTTCAGACGTCCACGCTTACCCTGTCATCACAGATGCAGGAGGCGGCATGGCCCCGTCCTCAAGATTATATCTAGAGCGGCACTACAAGGAGAAATGATCAACCTGCTTATTACATTTTAGACATCTTATAAAGATGAAAAGATGAGGATGGCTCTATTATAGTTTGGAGTGATGAGACAGCTCATTCAATGAATTAAAAATTTTAATTATGTTATTTTTTTCACTATGTAACATGGTGTGCTCTTATGGGGCATTTGGATTACTTAAAGAACCTCTGTGTACCTGATAATATCAAAGCTTACATTAAAACAAGTTATGTGAACAATAGCAGAAGATAAGATACAAACAACTGGGCATGCTAGTAAAAACTGTTTGTACCTTTATCTGTTAAAAATGACAAAAAAACCTCAGAGGAATATGAAATTATGTTTTTCACTTTGAAGTAATGTTCTCCATTTTGAAATCTGTTTTAGCTTAAGTTGCTCAAAAATAATTTTCAGTTCTTTTGAACTCCTCTTTCGTCATTCAGGAGGAATTTTGGATCACTCTTTTTTATGGTGTGGCTGCAGTTCATAACAGTTTGTAGATTCACATTCGTACACAGCTCTCTCAAGATTCTGACACAACATTTCTCCCAAGCTAAGATCTCATTTTTTTACGTCATTAGAAACACTTAATGATTTTGGATTCTCAGTCATTTAACTGCTGAACAATGTGTGTATTTGAGATCACTCTTCCTGAGATTTGATAGAGTTTCAGCCAGTCTTTGCTTGCGGTTAATAAAGTGAACCAGTCAATTTCATAGGTTGTTCAGTGTTTTGTAGCTGTCCCTCTTTGAAACCTAAACATTAAGAAAGATTTGATAAAAAATTTTGCTATTGGTGTTATAACTACAAGTGATGTAGGTTCTTGTCGATACAGAGCACAAAGACTGAATAATTAACAATTTGGAACAACAATAACTTTTGAAAACAAACGTATTTTATTTAGACGTTCTTCTTTTTAAAACACATCTCATTGACAGGCAGTTTCACAAAATTTCAACGTGGGCTTTCTCATCATTTCTTGTGTAGTTTTGCATTTTGATGGTTTGTTTGTGAAAACACATTGTTGATCTTTTTTCCCGCTGCTTCCTCTCATCATACCTTCTCTGAATATAGTTGATATATTGCCCCTGTTAAACTAAAATTTCCTTCTTTGCTATTTTTTTGGTTTATACCTCAGTGTGAGTTTAGTTTTGTTTGTAACTTCTTGTTTTGCAGTGGGAGACTTTTGAATTCTGTAAAATTGGTGTTATGCTACGTTATTCATCACCAGCTGCCTCCCGCCAACTCTTTCTGCTTTGGATCCTCAACAACCACCCCCACGACAGATGATTTTAATTTTATCATCACGCATAAAACCGTTGAGTCAGGAGAAATGTAGTTTCTGTTCAGCGATTGCAATGCATTGGCCTCGTTGATGCCAACAAAAGGATAAGAATTTCTGCACAGAAGAAAAATAAATAAATCTGACATTACACACATAATGTGGTGGAATTATTTGTGATTCTTTAGTAAAAATTTGCCTGTGACCTAAATGATTTGAGTTTTAAACTATGTAAACTTTCTTAATTCATTTTCAAGAGGTAGTATTTCTTTGCAGTCAGATGTTTGGAATTCCTTTTTTAACATAATGTTTCAACATCATAATTTGATGAAATTTGATGAATCTCCTCTCAACACCTCATTAAGAAACTACAATAGCTGCATGACTTATCAGAGTTTGAATAACTTGTTAAATGTTTTCCTTTGCACAGTTGAAGCCTTATGGCAGATTTTTATCCATTCATCCATTATCTAAACTTGCTTAACCTTGCTGGGTCACAGGTGAGCTGGCCTATTTCCAGCACTTCTTAGGGTAAAAAGTGGGGTGACTTTCACAAATAAAAATCACTAAACACTTCTTTTAGTAGACTCACCACAGCATTACCACAAATATTGTATAATCAAAGGTGTGCAGACTGAAAATGGAGGCCATTGTTAATCAGTTAAATGACTTGATAAAGATCATTTACAAGAATCTTGTAAAAGTAATTTGTTATGATAAAATGTTGTTACTCAGGGGGAGTAGAAGGAAAATTAATTAAGCAAGAAAAACACAAAAACTGTGCAATTGTCTTAACTTAAAGATGGACAGCAAAAGTTTAATCTCCAACATCCCTTTCCAAACAAAATTGTGTTTTCTTGCAGAGTTCAAAAGGTGTAGTGCTGTTTATTTATTTATTTTTTTCATGTCAATTCCAGTCTTTGCACCTTCAAAGTACCTGTTGGTTATCAGGCACTGCACATATTTGTCCATTCGGATAGCAAAATTCATCTTTTTCAGATGTCTGAGGGTAATAGAGTCATCGTTTCATTTTTACAGATGGCCTTCCAGACCTCAATATCCTTGCAAGAGGTTCAGCAAAGGTATTTGGAAATATTGTTTTTGGCTGTTTACATCATGGAGCTCTTTAGTTCAGAAAGTACCAAAATATTACAGATACATCCACAATAGATTCTTGTCTTTTTCTGAAAAATGTTAAGATTTCTGTTAGTCAGCAAGCCGAGCAATATATGTCTGAAACAGTGAATCAGTTCAATCTTTTCAGCAGTTTAGCCTTTTATAAATCACATATTATTGTCAATGTATGTCCCTTGATGTGTGATAAAGCACACCTATGTGCTGAGCTAATTTCAACCAGCTCCACTGCTGCTTTGATGCCCAGCAACAGGTGCGCCTTGACGAGTTGCGCAAGGCCAAATCATAAATTGGGCAACACTGCTCTCTGGTGGCTCATTAAGGGTAATATCCTTATTTCTCCTTAAAAAAAATTAATGCACCGAGTCAGTAATATTCATTGATTCTTTGGATTCTGCATTACATGTTATGAAACATGAGCACATTTAAAAAACAAGCTATTATTTAAATTATAGCTAAATCGATCCCTGCCCTCTGGATGTTTTTCTTTTCACTGAGTTCACTTAATTTATTTAAAACGAGTAAACAAAAAACACCTCTGCAGATAAGAAAAAGAACTGAAATAAGACTAACACCGCATACAAAGCAGAAGATTTTTCTAAAAAACAATATCTAACAGTCAAACGTTGTGTTGACAGTTAGATAATAAGTCATGATCAATGGAACCATGGATTTGGCTATTTCCTGCAGAAAACCCTTACATTTGCAGTATTGAAGTTTTATAACATCTTTTTATACATGTTAAAACTGTCATGTTGAGCTTATTCATCTTCTCCCATTGTTATAAGAAATGCACCGCTCATGGTCAAAAACAACCAGAGCCTTAGCGCTGTTAATCACACCTGTGTAAGCACCCCTAAATGTGCAAATGACAACTTACCGTTATAAGCTATCATTGGTGGTCATGATAACCAGCCTGAGCTCTCATGGCAGGTTCTGACATTGGGAAGAAGCTGTATCACAGCAGAGAGAAAGGGGGAGGTAGTATTGAGTGATTGACAGCAATAAGAACCCCCTCCTAGCTCCGATTGGTTGTTTCTGTCTGAGCAGTGTATTTGTGCAGAAGACGCCAGGCCCACAAGGAGAAGGCAGAGGAGCTTGATTTTTTTCCACAAGTATGTTGTGATCATTTTAACAAATATGCAAAAAAACAAATTTCTTTCTAGAAAAGTTACGTTCTGTAGCTTTATGGAGGTCCAGCCATCAGTTTGTGATCTCAAGCTTAAGCATAAGTGTAACTGAACAATGATTTGAAGCACACATGCAAGTATACTCACTGAACAAATCTGTGTGTGGCCAGGTACTTTTCACTGCACTGTACTATGGAAGCCCTTATAGATGCACCTTTCTCTTCACAGTATGCCAGTTTTAATCTTTAACAATGTCTGTCATTCCTTGCCGAGCCAGCTCACTGGTTCAAAATAAAAGCTGAAGCCTTTTATTCAGCTAAATTGACTTTAACACATTCATATACTACTGCAAGAAGAGTGTTATTATTGTATTTACAATAATTGTTTATGATTGATCTATGCTTTCCAAGAAATAAAAAGCAGAAAGCTGTTCTTTCTTCTGGTGAAACAATCATTTAAATGCTGCTCAGCCAGCTCGTGTATGTTAAGTGCAGTAAAACAGAATCAGACTCTTCGATTCACAAGCAGAAAATGATAAATGTCTGAGCATCAGTGATAATATTTTATCCTCTTGTGCATGTACATATTTTATCTGCTTGTGTGGAAAACTACGTTGGACAGATTTGCTGAAATATCGAGGCACATGCTACTTCACGTCTAGGTGTTGGCTGGGTCTGCAACTCATCATCTGGCATTCAAATGTGGAATCATGTTGACCGAACTTTTTTGGCAATCTTCTACGGTCAGTATCTTATCCCAGGTAAATGTTTGCTTCACACATTGTTTTTTTTTTTTTTCTTTAATCCTAATTATGTGACAGAGCAATACAGAGCTGTGCATTAGTATAAAACTACAGGAAAAGAAAACGTTTTCATTAAAAAAATAAATAAAAAAATTCAGATCTGAATCCAATTTGAAACCTGTGCCTGTAAATCTTGAAAAACTGCAGTCATAGACTAGCCTGTGTAGTCCAACTGAGTTTGATCTTATTTGCTATGAAGAATGTGCAATAATTTTTGATGCAACGCTGGTGGAGACATACCCCATAAGGCTGTCATCTTCAAATATAGAACAAAGTTGTTCAACAAAACATACACTAAACAGGCTAAGTGCAAATGCACAGCACTGCTCACATTGTGCACCGTTTTTGTTCTGCAACATATAATGCCAAGAAAATGCATTGTTTGTGTCACGGAATGTTAAACAGCTTAAAACTATGAGAACTTTTGCAATTATTTTATAAATAAATGAGATCAGATTCATTTAAATTTTGATTTATTAGAGGACATAGAGGCTTAAATAGCTGCAGTCTGTCTTGTTTCGGGTTATCGCTATGCTGCTAAATTTGTTTTGTTCTTTTGACAACAGATTTAAAAAAAGGAATAACGATGCTTTAAACTTTAAAAATATGCAACATAAAAGGTTAGTTTTTTTATACAGAAGATTTATTTCTCAATTCAATGCACAAAAAATATTTTTCCCCTGAACTGTCACACCTACAAATAACCAGTTGAAGTAATAGATTTTTCAACCACCATAGGGAATGAACATGAAGTGAACTAACAGTACATACAGTATATAACAGGACAGAATTGATTGTAGCAGAATGGTTAGGACTGTTTATCATGCTGCTGCTGACGTTAGTGATATCAGGTTCAAACATGCATTCATCTGTACCTTTGCTTTTGCATCCATCAGACTGAAGAAACATATGTATGCAGTAAAAGGCATAAGGGACAAACACATTTATCATTGTAATGTAATGACTAACCATTAAAAGATAGAATAGATAAAAACAAAAAAACAACCCACCCTATTTCATACATGTCCCCAAAATTTAAATACAGATATACAGCATCCATTCGCTCTTTCATTTTATTAGAAAATCTAAGGGTAAGCAGTGATAAGATGGCCAACCAGTGCAGGAATGGGGAATGTGTATTTAGCTCGATAGTCAAAACATTGTGTTGACGTCATTACAGGAAGCCATTAGCTAAGATATGAGGCTCATTTAATCTCTGGTGGAAAATTTTAGTTAAAAAAGAGGGGAAGCTTTAAATTAGGTATCTATTGGTTTAAGAGAAAAAGTAAATAGAAAACATACAAACAAAAACACATTTATCCACAACTTTAATTCTGTTTTTGGATGCTTCTTTTAGGGTTTTCCATGGGATGTATTCAGCCTCCTAAACGGTTATGCCAAGATTTTTTGATGGACAAGGGAATGCCGTCTGTGGTCCTCTTTGGCAAGGTAATCCAGATATTTTATTGAAATTAAAAAAAAATAAAGCAACTTGTATTTTCACAGGTTTTGTGCACCTCCAATTTTCACGTGAGTGCCAAAGTGCAACACATGCAATGTAAAGAAATCTCAGGAGAAAAACTTCACAGTGTTGTGTCTTTCACCAACCGTGTCTCATGCTCACCGAATGCTACAATTAGGAGCTAACTTGGGTGGAATTTCTTGCTTTGTGCTACTATGAAGAGTCACTGCTTGGTCACAAAATACACTGTTGTTGGCCAAGTATCTGAAATTTATTTTCCGGGAGTATATTACCATATTAGCTTTATGATAGTCTTCTAAAAAGAATGCTAAACACCTTTCCAAAAACAGCAATTTACAAGAAAATACAACACTTGAATAATGTCCACCTGCCTGTGGTTGGTTGCCAAAAAGATTACAAGCAACAGATGTTTTTTGGTTTATTCATTTCTCACTATTTGAGACAATTTTTTTAAGGCAAAAAATAAGAGAAGTTTAGTGGATGACTGCAGGCATAGTGATTTTACATAGTTTAATTTCATTTCATAAGAACTTTTATGCCTCTGTTTATCTTTTGGAATAAAGAAGCAAAAAATGTCCAGTAGTGATGACTATAATTGGAAGAATACATCCACTGACATTAAATGTTTCATCACCTTGTTTCCCTTCTGTGCTCATTCCTATTCAGTTAGGTAAACTAGCATTTCAATATAAGCCACAATTTAATTATGTAAATGATTTAGTGCATTTACAGATACCTCAAGTGAAGTAATGATACACCAAGCAGACATCTGATTATTTCTTATGCATATGTACACCTGGTGGCTCAAGATGTTTTAGATTGTCTAAAACAAGAATTTTTATATCAAACAGGTGCTGAATAATTGTGACTACAGAACAAAGTTAAAAAATGTAAAATCAGGAACAAGAACTAACTTCTCCAAAAACGCTGTAAGAATAAAGAAGTTAATTTAGCTCTGTGGGACACGGCAGACAAACAGCAAGAGGAAAACATATAAAAGTCAACACAGATTAAAAGTCCCTTTCTGTTGTTGATCCTTGCTGGGAAACAGGTTCTGCGGTCCTGACCGAGGCACGAAGGCTTGCTGCAATCATCTGTTATTGCCAAACTCATCAGATGACCATTTTTTAATACAAGTAGAAAAGCAAATTGGTTTTAAAACCAAGGAAGGCACACACATACACAGGCACACAACCACCCAAATAAACAACTGCTCTCACAGTGAGAGTAAGGCAGGCAAAGATCACTGAGGTTGAATGTAGGAAGGCAGTGCATGGGGGTGGGGGAAAAGGCAAACTTGAATGAGCGGCTGTTTAAGCGGCCCTGCTTTCTGGCAGAGGCTCACTCTGGCTTACAGGACTGCCCTGGGGGCCGGCTAATGGAGGCGGAGTCAGTGTGTAGGGGGGAGGAGCTTCGCTGATGCGAACCGAGTTTCCACCCTCAGAAATGAGAGGAGTGTTGTGGGAGCGATGAGGGGAGTCGGTCTCATCGGTTTGAGCGCATTCGCTGTAGGGAGGCGGCTTCAGGTCATCCTCTGCAAGGGCAAAAAAAATAACAAAATAGCCAAGTTATAAACATATACAGTTTTATGGTATGAGTCAAAAACTAATCTTACATCCTCCTTATCAATATACATGTTAAGGCCACATGACAAGAAAACAAATGGCAAATTATAGTGAAGTTGTCTTCTTTATTGGGACTACAGTCTGCATGAGACAAATATAAACAGTATAATAGGAAGTATTATTAGTAATTTGTTCTGTTGCAACAGATTGGCTACAGGTCAGAACCATCCTCGCATCCCAACTGCTTATAGTTGGCTTTCACCTAAGCAATTACTGAGAATTGACATCAAATCTCAAAATATTGATCATGATCATCATTTAGTGAAACATTTCGAAGACCCATTTCTCTGACTTAAAATCTAACTTATTTTTAGCATTTTGTCAATAAATGTTGAAGCGCAGTGATTTGGGGGCCTGAGATACCACTCACTACCGTCCTGGGTTCATGGCAAGCACTGAGCCTCAACCAGAAATTTTACAACAAGAATATTTTAAATTTTCTTCCACCTTACAAAACACTTTTCAGTTCTTCATTAAAGCTTAAAAAATACATGATGAATAAAACATGAGCAGGGTTATGCTGGAAAACACCTGCAGCAAAAAGAACAGCCTGAAAGTACAATAAAAGTTCTCAAACAGCAGCACATTTCCAACATGGCTTAGAATGCAACCTCAAATTACCAGAATCATGACTCATGCAGTGTTCTAAATAGTTTTGGCCATAAATGTACAACTGAAATATCGGGAAGCCTGGATATGTGCCTGGAAAAATATACAAATGCCCTTGAACTTCAGATTACAACACTCCCTTAACTCTGATAACCCTCAATAAGATCCAGTACAACTAATGGTCGTCAGACTCTCCTAATAAGTAAAAAGAATCTGAGTAATTTAATCAGAATACAGATCCAGCGTTTTTTTTTTTTGAAGGTCTCAAAGGTTTGTAAGAGAATGCCAGAGTTTCAGAATGTGAAAACTCAATCAAGTTGGGATTTATCTAATTGTTAAATTAACATCACAATATCTGATTTGAGTGCGTCCATTTGAGCTATTTTGTTCTTCCAAATACACCAAACCCTTTTTACAATCCAAATCCAAATTGCAGGGGTTAAAAACAATCTATTTACGTTTGGGTATATAGATTGCCAAAATAAAGTGAATCCAGGTTGTAAATGAGACACTTTAAAATGATAATTTAGTTAGAAAAATACTTGTACATCAAAATTATTTAAGTAAAATAGAATTTTTAAAAAAGTCAGCATTTTAGAAATGTACAAAAACTCAAATAATTGACTGAAAACAGCAATTGATTCCCTGGAACAGTGATGTGACAACATAAAGTTCAAACAAAGAATTAATCGTTAATTCTGTTACTCCTACTAGCTTGAAAAAACCATGACATGAGCGAGTGAAATGAAAAAGCTCCCATCACGTAATGACATTTCTGCTGACATATAACCATTTCCATCCACTATAACCACATCCTGCAATCAGACTAAATAAGCACTTCAGAAACTCCAGAAACAAAAGAGGAAGTTCTGAAGTTCAGCTTAGAGACAATACTACTGGAGAAGAAAGCTCATTAAAAATAAATGAATCTAAAATTCAAATTAGGGGCAATCATTTTGAGTTCACCAAAGGGAAGACAATGTTTATAGCAAATTAGTGAAAGACAAAAGTCAAAGTTAGTGAGGTAAAATAAACCTTTAAAAATCTGACAACACCAATGGAGACTGAAAAAATACATTAATTAAAACATAGATTAATATATTACTTTATTTTTGATTTTGCTAGAACTAGTAAGATAACAAATGTGTGTTGCTGAATTTCCACATATACAGATAGCTAGTTTCCTATGTGGCCAAAACACAAAGCTTTTATTGTCCCTTACTACTGTATCAGGGTAAATTTTGTCCTCTATGAGGCTTCCTCTGCCTGAGTGAAACTGTTCAGAAAACCACAGAGAAGTCAGTGATGAAGCCAAGCGGACTTTCCCACGATCGACAGTCATAAGGTGTGAATACATTTATGCAAAAGCAGGGACCAATTCAAATGGTGCAGCATGATATCTAACAGTTAATTATAAAACACTTGCAAAGGTGTTTTTGTCCTTTAAACTTTAACATATTATGTCACATTGTAACTACGAACATCAATGTACTTTATTGGGATTTTGTGCAACTCAGCAAAACAAAGTCCCAAGTGCAAAACGAAGTGGAAAAGAAATGATTCATGATTACAAATTTCACTTTAAAGTGCTATTTGTCACCCTTTCAAATTTAACCCCTAAATAAAATAGTCCAAAATAGTCAGTCTTCAGAAGCCACATATGAGTAAACAGAGTCTATTTGTTTCTAACTTAAATGTATGCATAAATACAGTTATATCTTAGAGAGCACTAGTGAACAATGACCAAGAAACACACCAGACAGAAACTTGTGAAGTTTGAAGCAAAGTTTTAGAAAAAAAATAAAACAGGATATCCAGGGTTTTTAACATGTGATAGAGTAAAGCAATCCCTCATTTGAAAATGCAAAGCGTGTGGTCCAACTACAAACCTACCAAAAAGTGCTTGTCTACCTTAACTGACAGCTCGTACAAGAAAAGTCAGAGAACCAGTCAAATCACGACAGAGAAGCTTCTCAGATCGTTGTTATTGACAGCCGCTTGTGCACTCTATAAATCTGACCTTTACAAAAAAGTGGCAGAAAGAAACTGTTTGAAAACGCAACAAATTTGGCAGAAGGTTCTCGTCTGATGAGAGAAAAAAACGTTCTGGTCTCCAAGAAAGAAATAGAAAAACAAAAACATCATGAGTGGAAGAAAATCATAGTACATCCCTTTGAAAACACTATCCTCAACATAAAACATGGTGGCAGCATCATGCTATCCCCCAGTGCTTTCCTCAGTGGAAGGTGGTCAAAGCTGGTGTGAATATTAATAGATATAAACAAAGAGCAACCAAAGAAGAAAGCCTGTTGGTGGCAACAATAGATTTGAGACTGGGGTGAGGGTTCCTAAAATAAAATGATTCAAGGAAAGATGCTATGTATCTTTTAGAGAAGCCCTCTATGTCCTCAATGCTGCTAGTTGGATACAAAGTACAACACAGACATGTGAGTGGATAGCAGCAAACACATAAGAGGAATAAGGGATAGGAAAAAAAAACAAAAAACCTGAAGTATTTATACTGACTGGCTCTGTTTGCATGAGGACATAAACTGATGGATTCCATATTATGTCTTATGTACGCATTTGTTACCTCCAGAGACCACCTCGTAAGGTGGGGGCATTTCCAGGTGGGAGAAGGATGCAGTCGGGGGCATTGTTGAGGAGGGTTCCTCGACTGAAAAGTCCTCCTGAACACCGTACCAACTGGGCCACACAGATGTTTGCTACAGTGAAAGGAAATACATAGTTAATATAAACACACAAGCAAAAAGCAGAAGCACTAAAAATGCAGAAGTGAATAAATGTACATACAAAACATGATGAAGTTTTCAGCTACACTGGTTTTATATGGACACTTCTCTAGATAACAGTTATGAAAGTATTAATTTTCTACACCTGTTACTCTTAAAGAGACAATATCATGCATTTCCAGGCACATGCTGCCATTTTATAGCACAAACAAGTAACTATGTTACTTTCAGCTGCTTGGTGAGACCAATTGTTTAGGTACCACCTCCAATGGTTGCCATGGGATATTCAAGGATTTCTCAAACATGCATAAAAGAATCAAAACAACACTCCATGTATATTTTTGATGGAATAATATAATACAATATAAGGCTAAAAAAATGCAGATTAAATAATACCACCCCACATTTAGGAAAAGTTTTCTCCAGCCCAAATCTATCACTTCTGGACCTCAGTTATCAAATTTTAGTAGGTCACAACTTAACCACCAAAGACTGATTCAAATAAGCAGCATACCAGAGAAATATGAAAACCAATTTATGTGAAAGGTAGCATTCAAAAATACATTGTTGTCTCTTATCATATTATGAGTTTTGTAGGTAGAAGTGAATAATGTGATTAGAGAAGATTTAGCAATTTAATCTTATTCATTTAGACTCAAAATTTAGATATTTTGTAATTTCCCCAAACAGCTATTGGGTCATGGATGACCTTAAGACCTTCCTGCTGCACATTCCATTATCATCTAAACATGGAACATTATCCACCAGAAACTGCAAAGGCTGCAAGGAGGACAGACAAACAACAGGAGTATGTAAATAATTAAAAAAAAGACTGAAAAGTGGGAATAATCAGTTAATAATCAGACGGAATAAGGAGTGTGAAGAAGCTGAAAAAAAGTGTTAAATATGCAACAAAATGTGTCGGGTTAAGGTTCAAGGTGAGAGGGATTCTGATTCTACAAGCTGGCATATAATTACTTGTCTCACACAACACTGACAGAAGCAACTAGACAGCATGTTCTCCCATGTCTCATAAACATTCAGATATGACAACAGGATATTATAAATGATCAGGGGAAACACGAGCCTAAGAACACTGGCATTGAGCAGTTTCATTTATTTTCTTCTGCAAATGGGGCATTTCCTGGAGAACAAATATCCCAAACAAGGCTAAAAATACAAATGTCGATTCTCGGATGCAACAAGATCAATTAGAAAAAACAATATGTTGTGGCTGAAATTATTGAACTCATTTTTCTTTGTTCATTTTTAGAAGAAAAAAAGGAAATGCAAACTGTTTCCACTTGTTTGTTTTGGCAAATTGAAAATTCTGTCCAGTTGTTATAGAAAGGCTATGAAGTTTACAGATTGTGGGGCCAAACCTGAAGAGATCATCTAAGGTAATCCAACTTCAGTGATCAGTTAAGAACTTCAATATAGTAAGAAGTTATATTTTAAATTAATTATGTTTTAAAGCTTTAACAGATCAAAGTAATAAAATCTGTATACCAGCTGTTAAAGTAATTTACAATAAAGTGTATGTTTCTATTATTCTTCTTTAAAAATCAGAAGAAATTAATTTTCTTTGAGTATTTCTATGCTTTGGATAACAAAGAAAAACAGAAGATGAAAATGTTAATCAAGCAAGAAGGGAAATACAAACAACTGATAAAATTGCATTTTTAGTCAAAAGCGGAGCATACAGTTGTCTGTAAATGAACTCGGCTCTTAGTTTGTTATTAAAAACATTGCATAATGCAGTTCTTACAAATGTGTTACTCTATCACACTGTTGAAAGTCATGAGTTCAACATCTAGTGTTCAATTTTTTTTTTCAACTAAACTCATATAAAAGCACAAATGCATCTACTGAACTATAACAAACTTCTTTATATTTTTTGTATAAAGTAACTAAAAAAAGAGTGTGGAAAAAAATGCATTCCTAAGTGAAACCACAAACAACTTGTCTGTTAAAACATCACCCAGCCAACAGTGACCTTATTTGACTGCGTCTTACTCGCTGAACCAAATGTCTCTTAAGAGATTATCTTTATCCCAGAAACCTTTGAAGCTGTCCAAAGCCATGACCCAACAATAATGAAGACATGCTGGAAGCAGAAAACCTATTCAGACGCTGACAGCTACATGACGCATTTTAGAAACAGGACGTAGGTTCTGCACTTACATTCTGTCTCTCACACATCTGATGAAGGTAAGCCCTTCCTCCGACGATGACTATCTGTGCATTGCGGGTGTTGCTCAAATATGCTGCCAGTTGCCTTTGTCTTGACCGGTACCAGCACACATAGAAGAAGATCTTTATGATGATGAATATTATAACAACTCTGTGGGAGGAAAAATAGGTTTAAAATAAAAACCTCCAAGATCCAAGTGGTAAAAATTAAAAGATGCAACAGTCAGAATTTTAAGAAGGAAAGAAGGAGGCGTCTCCCTGGCCTCTAAATCATAAAAGTGTCAATGCGTTAAAATGTAGTGACCATGGATGCAGTAACTGTTTGCACGTCATGCGGTTTGCACTTTTTAAAATGTTTCCCACACGTACGTATTATCTGTAACCACTGTTTGTGAATGTGTTCCATCAGAAACGTGCACTGTTATACAGTTGCCAAGTAGTTAATATGCTTTTGAGTACAACTGGGTTCTCCTACTGTTTTTCTAAATTGCAACTAAAACATTGATAAACTAATGTTATTCCAAGTTCTGATAAGAAGAGAATTGAACGCCGCAGAAGCAGCCACCAGCATTTTTTTTTCCTTAGTTCATTTTATATCCTCTTCACTTTCTGTGGTGGTTCTTCAACCATTTTTTAATTGCATATCCCTTTTGACCAGAATCTTTTAAGCAATGTTTGTGGTAATTATATAGAAATTGTAACTACTTTTTTTTCCTTAAGTATTTTGTAAAATACGCAGTATAAAAAATATTTGTAACTCCTTTGAAAACTGATTCAATATTTTTGATTTTACATTGCTTTCTTTTTATATTACAGAGTTACTTAGATTGTATTTGCTTTATGTTTTTTTTTGTTTGTTTTGTTTTCCATGCACACTTCAGAAGGGAATATAATCTGTGATGTACAACCTTCTACCTCTGTTTCACATATGAGTAATTAGAGCTTTTCTGTGTAAATATGTACAGAAAACACAACAATCATTTGAAGGTTCATAAATTTGTGGTTTCGCAAATTGCAATGGTGTTTTGGTGACTGGTAGAAGCCTGCCATTTGAGGCAATTTTAACAGAACTTTCTGAGATCAAATAATTTGTATATATCCTATAGAATACCTAATGAGAGAAATTTATTGAAAGTGATATATTAATAACGTACAACATTCGAACAAAACCTCAGTATCTATATTTGTAATATTAACTGAGTTGACATAATTTTACATGTATTCTTGTATTCAGGCCAGGCTATTGTTTCTCATTGTCATACATACATACATATAATATGCTCCAGTAATGCTTATTGCAAGACAAACATAAAATAAAAATGACAGAGTATTATTAATCAGAATATGAACAGAGATGAAGAGTTCTTTTCAGGACTGTATCCCTAAGATTTGTTAAGCATTTTTAGCAATAAATGAAAGCTAAATTGCATAATACGTTTTTAACTTATAAATAGCAGACACCAACATTTTCAGTACCACTACAGTACAACCAAAAGCAACGTGAGTACAAAGTCATCAGTCTACAGTCAAAAAGAATTAAAGAAACAGCTATTGAAAGAAAATAAATAAAAAGTCACTTACATATACCAGTAGAGCTCCATTTCACAAGACGTTTATAACTGAGAGGAAAGTCTCATTACTGAAGAACCACACAACTTTCCCTGCAGACATGAATAAATTTGGTTACAAGGAAGCAACATTTCTCTCGTCAGTTCACTTCACTGCTAGCAGACTCAAGCATGTTGTAGCATTTCTGGAACTTTAAACATAAACAAACTTCAACACCAGAAGTCCTTTGTAAAATTAGAAACAAATCGAAGTAACCTCACCTTAAAGAGACAGAGACGTCCACCTGAGTTGGTTAGCAAGGTGTGCCATTTCTCTTTCTGTTTCGGGTGAGAGATGTCAGTGAAGCTCCGGGAGGCAATAGAGGCTGCTGCTAGTTTTAGCTAGGATATCCGCCTAGCAGGCCAAAACAGCAGCCGCTTTAGTCACTTATTCCGAGCGCAAAACAACGACTAAAACGCTTCTGTTTGATAAACACGCCTCTCCGTTGTTCACAACATGCCATTTATTGACAATTGGGCGAGCTATTTTTTGAATTCAGGTTAAATACAGAACTTAAGCAGACTGAGCGGAGTTGAAGCTAACGCAGACTGACCACATCCTCCTGAGTTCTGTGCTGCTTTCACTTACCCAGGTGGGCGGTGTTAATGCGGGTGTTGATTTCGCGCTTCCAGTAAGATGCTCCCCCTTCACCCACACCAAATTCTCAGTTGGTATTTTTTATTTAGACTAAATAAATGCATAAAGATCCTGTCATCCATGCCGTATAACAAAATAGCTTTGTTTAGACACCCAGGAAGCATATTTTCTATGATTATTTAGAAATCATTCACTTCATTTGGTTTGTATATATTTATAACCACCAGAATAATAAGAGCATTGCATAAAACTAGTTTCTTCCTTCACTTTCTAAATAGAGAAGGCTTTCAAGTGTCACGTTTTAGTCTGTCTTTTGATTACATATGTTTGTGTTGAACTACTTTGTGTTTCAACAATTTCAACAACTAATTCTTGACTAAAAATATATGTGTGTATATTACAATTATCACCATTTTTGATTTATGCATTTGTCTTTATGATTTATTAACTTTAGAGGCTTCATCACATCTTTACATGGAGTTTCTGATGTTTCTCACTACATGATTGTCTCGTCAGTTCTGCAACATTTATAAATGAATCAAAACTCTTCGCTATTTTGGTGTTTTTTCTGTTTGTTCAGCTGTTTTTAATCTTTGTGCAGCACTTTTGAGCTAGTCATGCAGAAGTATTTAGAGGATATATGACCATACTTTACAGGAAAATTTAGTTGCAATATGTTAATTTATAAATAAATAAATAAATAAAAAACTCATATTGTCATGATAAACAGAAAAAATAAAGAACACAACACAATTGTTTCTGTTTTGTGTCTCCATCTGGTGGTCAATATAGTACAATGCACAATACTATTCAACTAAAATAGTATTACAGAAGCAGAATCATACTAACCTCCCAATTTCACAATTTTAAAAAATGTATTTGCTGTAATAACTAGAAAATTAATAGGCCTTTTTATATCTAAAAAAAAAAAAAACAAAAAAATTGCATAAAATGTAGCTGAGGAAAATCTAAAACCACAGGAAACAAATTAGATTAAAAAAACAACATATTTATTTGAAATTACAATTCACAATTTTAGCCCCAAACAATTTCTATTTGTAATACATTTGACTTTGTTAAACTGCTACAAGAAGAATGACTTTCAATCAATCACAAATATTGCAAAACGACTGCATTTCAGTTAGATACCATTTCCCCGTTTTTAAATCCTGAGAGGTCATGTAAATATTTCTCATCTGTTGTCTTCCACAATAATGCTCCTCCTGGGGTATGTGTCTACGTCCACAAATATATAGCGAAAGTCATATTTTCCAGTTTCAGCGTTCTGAAAATGATAAAACAGATAAATGTAAAATTAGAATATTCTCATTAGGACAACAGTGTTTACATTTTCCATGTAAAGTACAAACCTCTTTTGACTCCGAATGCACCGTTCCCTTCAGGCCTGGCTCTGAGCCTTCAATGTAAAATTTAAGTCTCATGTGTTTTAGTCCATCCTTCATGTACTCCATGTGACTGAGTCGGAAGCAGAAGCAAGCACAAAGTTTCAGTGAAGCCACCACAAAGAAACTGATCTCTATTGAGAGCCACATAAAAAACCTTCCTAAGATATTTTAAGAAAATGATTAATATTAAAGCCCACCTGACTTGCTGCCTCCTTCCTCGACGGGTGGTCTCACCATAGCATTTGATTGGCTCGCCAAAGGCACCGATCACCTGCATTTCAGATTAAATTTATTAATTTAGATGCAGTCGGTTCTCAGCTGTCTACTGTCTTTTGCTACATTCACACTCCAGGCTTCAATCCCAATTTTTTTGTGAAATCCTTTTTTTTTCTTTTTGTGTGGTCAATAAATATTTCCAAATACATTTGACTTGTATGTGATCTCCTTTGGGAACTGCAAACAACCTAAAAGTGTCCTGCATGCGCAGTGGGGGACACAGTAATGTCACACAGAGTAAACATACTCGGTGTTTGTGGAAGTAAACATGGATGGTAATGGTGGAGAATATTTTAAAGTTGCAGTCCAAACGGAGCCAGCAAATTGGCAATTTATTGTCACAGTTTGAGCGCAGCCTTATTCTCACCTCTGGGTGGGATTTGACTATGTCAAAAGCTCTGCTGTAGACCTTGTTTGGGCTTGAGGAAGAAAACAGCTCCTGAAACACCACATACAGCAGCCCACCTAAAACAGAAATGCACAATCTACTAAAGCTCACTAGTGTTTCAATTGAAACGATTTAGATAAAAGTATTATCGGTGACATTAATTAAACATTGTCACAAGGCTTACAATATCCTAATTCCATATGTTCTAATTCTCTCATTAAAATAGACTGACACTAAATGTGGACTGGACAAAAATGGATGGATAACAGATTGGGACTGATGCTTAATAGACAGCTTGATAGATGAATAAAGCATAAATGCAGATGAATGAATGAATGAATGAATGAATGGATGGATGGATGGATGGATGCAATATTCACATAATGAGAGTGAACAAAGTCTGGGTATTCAAACACTATTTGTTTATATAATTTCCCAGACTGAAAGAGAACCATTTTATTTACCTGTCACTCCCAGCCCGATGAGAACTACTATCAAGTAGGTGAAATCTCTTCCAGCTTCTTTCACTGCAGTGACCATAGGATAGGGGGTTAAAAGCCGATTATCAGATCTAGTCTACACAATGTCGTCGAGCTATAATGTATTCAGTGGGATGCAGGAAAGAGCATTTAATCTGAACAAAATATTTTTCTACTAAGCATACCTTTCTGTGCAGCTGAAGGTTTAGGGCTCCCACTCTGATACCTGGACACAGACTTGCCTCTGTCTTCGGGGCTGCTTCTGTTTCTAGCTGTACAGTGCACAGACGCAACTTGGTGTCTCTGACTTGCAGTGAGACAGTCCAGTGAAGAAACCTTTGTCCCGAAATGGACAAATGCTGGCGCTGTGCACAAAGCCCTGTGCGTGTGGACAACGTAGCACTGATGCACGCAGAATTGTGTCACGGTTTGTCTCAGACTTCTGTGCAGGACTTTCAAAATGCGACCATAAGTCATCATTGTTCTGGTTGGGAAGCCAGTAAAAAGGAGAGATAATTACACTACACCCCTGAATAACTCTGTAAAAGTATATTATTATGACATGGATACAAACTAAACTACTCCAGCCTCAACAGAAGGTAGAGCGCATGACTTTGACCTGCCCTTATTCTCACATGTTTTGGTTTATTTGGAGGAAGCATATCGCCACCTACTGGACTGGAGGATGACCTGGAAGGAGTACTCGAACTGACAATAAATATGTTTATTTATCTTCAAATGACGGTGCCATTAACAACAAGAAAGGGGACGGACAGATTTGAGATTAATTTCACAATTTCCATTGGAAGTGACATAAATTAGAAATGAAGCAGAGTGGTTTGGTGGCTTGGTCAGAAAGGAAAGGCTGAGATGCATTGGACATATGGAGAAGAGGGACAGTGGGTTTATTCAGAAAGAAGTTAGTGAATATGGAGCCAAAGGAGAGAAAGAGCGTTACGTGAAAGAGGAGAAAGCTGGGGATAGGTTTAAATCACCAGATGATCCACTGTGTCCCCAACAGCTAAAATATAGACATAGCTTAAGAAAACAAAAAATAAATGTCTTATTCTATTTCTGCTTCAAAACACATTTCTTCCTTTTATTTTTTATTTATTTTTTGGAAGAAAAGTTTTTTGGCTCATAAGTCAATCCAAAATGAGCATAGGAACTAAGAAGTTTCATAAACAAGATTTGACACCCAAACTATTCCATTATTGAAATGAAATATTTTGAGTTTTTGTACTCTCTGATTTGATTTTCTATAAGTCTGCATAGTTTAAGATGTCGCCCTGTTCTTATTTTCCTTTGACTCTCCAAGATTCTGCTAATGTGGTTTGTTCATTAGAATGTAGAAATAACATAACTTCTGCGGGGGAAAAAAGAGTCACAGAAATTAAATCAGAAAGCATTAGTTTATTGAAAACAATTCAGTCCAGCATTTTCTTAAGTTGTTATCAAATGCAAGCTAAATTAGATAAAGAAAAAAAATGCCAACAAAAGCAAGTGTTAAACTTGAATTAAGTATGACAGGGAAAAAAAAAAAAATACAGTGCGATTGAAGAGTTGTTAAATAAATGTTTAAAGATCAGCAGATTCATTTGTAAGTCTACCATGGTTTTATTTCACACATATTCTGAACTGTCATTTGTATTTATATAAAAGGAATCGGATTCTCAACTGCGAAACCATGACATCAAAATTGAAAATACGCAATGGTCAGTGTGTTTTGTATGTATATGTGAAAATGTTTTTATAAACCTGATTCTGTCCTTTTTTCACCTAAGAGTAATTTTACATTAAAGGTACTTTACTTAAAATAAAAATCTGTCTTCTATCAGAAATGAGTTGCTCCATTGCTTATCAAGCCCAACCTGATGTGGAGCTGCACAGGAAGGGGGGAAATGCACCTTTTGTCATCCAAGGCAAAGAAGAAGACAGAAGAAAAAACTTTATCGGAAACTTAAAAAATATATTCTGATCACAACCCTCTACAGCAGTAAAGTTACTTAGGGTAACAGTTCATCACTGAGGATGCACACAGGGGAGAAACTTTAGCTCCAAATGATGTCAAACTTGGCAAGATGCAGTGGAATGATGCATCTGTCTGATGTATCTGCAGAGAAATAAAGACACTATTACTGAAAATCTGCTCCAGGCCATGTTCCGTTCCAACCTGCTGCCTGGCCTGCCTCGGATTGAGCCATTTCAAATTTGTTCAATTAGAGATTGTAGCACTTCCACCTTAGAACTGGCAGATGGGTTTGCATTTACATTTGTGTGTACATTTGAGCATCTGTTACATAGCAATTGTGCAAGCTGTTCTATTTATTTTTTAAATTTTCTTTAGATGTTGGATTATGAACTAAGAAACAACAGAAAAAGTCTACAATTTATGAACAGAAACAAAGTATTTTATTGGTATTTGACCCTATGTTTATGTAATGAGAAGAGCACAAATGTAATCATGCATGAAGTACATCACACTACTAACAATAAAAGTAAATAGTGTTGATGGTGGTTACAGTGAAAAGAAAACCACACATTTAGACAAAACATTAAGAAAAAAAATATACAGAAAAAGGGTGTGGATTGAATGTTAGCGTTATGTCTGTCTGTTTTAGTTTTTGCACATATCACTATCAAAAATGTGACCAACTCATCATAAGAAATAATTATCATGTTCAGAATTAATTTAATCAATTGACAGTAGTACATTTATATTCCTATAATAATCATTATACTATCACTCACAGTCCAGCCTGTGAGTGAAAAAGATATTATATATATATATATATATATATATATATATATATATATATATATTATATATATATATATATATAATTATATATATATATATATATATATATATATATATATATATATATATATATATATAGGTATAGAGTATAGGTATGGGTATAGAGTACCCAAGCTCAGAGGATAAGAACCACCCGCAGTGGGTGAGAAGGGAATTTTTACAAAAAGTTGCAGAGATAACGTGGTGGAGGAAAAATCCTCCTAAGAAGACACAGGAAGACACACACACATTTTGTGTCTTTTGTGTAGGCTAAGTGAGGCCAAACGTTTAAGATTTATTGCTTATTGCGCAAGTCGTTTACTTGCCCTGACGCTTGACATTTTCACCTTCCCCTTTTCTTTCTCCTTGTCTTCCCTCACATGTTGTGCTCTCATATATTCTTAATTAGCTCATTAGTCTTGGAGTATATTTCAGTATTCCATTCTTTAATTATAGTTCATTAGTTAGTTGATGTGATTCTTGATTGTTGATTGTCTGTGGAGCAGTAGATTGCGTAATTAGTAGTCCGATAAGGGAGTTGCTGGCTGAATATTGTTACTGTAAGGGGAATCTATTTTTGCTTCTACATTCAGATGCTTTTAAAAGAAGTTGTTGTGTATTCCATGAAATGTGTGAAGTATTATTTCTTCAGTAGGGTTCAATTCAAAACTTGTCAGACTGACGAGTTTGGTTCTGTAAAATGGTGCCTGAACTTTTTTTTTCCTTAAATAAAAACAAAAAAACAATTTAAACTCTACTAATAATTTTATTAATAGTAAATTATTAGTCATAATTATTAATAATTACATAAAACAATTCCTGTTGCACAACAATATGCATAATGTAATCTCATATGCATGTTGCCATTTCGTGTAAAACTAATTGGATTTAGTTTAATGGCAAGTTAATGTAAATGGGTGTTAAACTAAACACCTATTTAGTTTAACACTGAATGGCAACATGGTGTTAAAAAAACTCTACGTAAGTGTTAAACATATACTCCTGTCTACTTATCTAGGCAGGAGTACGATCATCGTAAGAATAGATGGAAAACAACAGAAAAAAAAAGGTTCATGTTTTGGAAAGACCGGAGTCAAATTTATTACTTCAGCCTAAGAGCAAAGCCGTGTTATGTCATACAAAATAGTTTTAAGTCAACAGTGTTCACATATTTGGTAAAAGTGAAAATATTTTAGTGGTTAGAAATAATTACCTTAAATTAATTCATGTGATTGTATATTTTAGCACTTAATGGAGCCATCTAAAAACAACTGCTGCAACTAAACAGACTATTTATTATTTCCATCCTGGACTGTGACTGATATATGCTCAATAAAACACCATTGACTGACTGTATAATGTGTAATATTGATTTTATAATGATGACCAGGATATAATTATAATAATCCTCAGGATTGTAAACACAAACCATTTTTATCTGTTAGTTTGTCTCACAAAACTATTCCAGCTATTTGGACAGCTGGATTGATCTTTTTTGTCGACATGTGATAATGAAAATACACCCTATTTCATCAATAAATGTTTACCTACCAGAAAAAAAATCACAATAATTTTAAAATCATTTTAAAATTAGATAAATAATACATCCATTCTTATTTGTTGTTTAAAAAAAGCCAAGAAGCAAAAATTGTCAAGAACACCCAATAAACTATTTTCATGTTTGCTATGTAAACATGTATTTCTATGAAACTTGAGTAGCTGCATTTTGTTTCAATGGTTTACAAAGATACCTAGTTTTAAATAAATTATGCTCAGGCATCAATTTTCTATGCATCTGATGCTGTATTATAAATAATTTAATCCCTAGCAGAGCCATGCTCAAACAATTTTCTTAGGCATTTCAAACAATACCATGGAACGCACATTTATTTAATTGCATGTGCATTGCAATGTAGTGTTATTGGCATTGAAATAAATGTGAGTGCTATTCAAAAATATTACCGCAATAAAATAACACTTGCATTAAATAATCTTAACCTCATAGCTAAGCTATCGAGATGCTCCATCTTCACTGATCATGATTTTGTCACTTTGATATGAAGTAGTTGACACACAGGTGATTTGAACCAGTAAACACAGAAAAAGAAAAGATTCATATCAATGGAAGATAAGATTATGATACACCCAAATGGCTAACATAATATGAAACAGAATAAAGTTTTGACTAATATTTATATAGTTTACATTTGGCGATGAGATCCAAGTGTTTGATATCACTGTAATCTTTAGCTCCCTCCATAAATGACCAGATTCTTTAACACATTCTGGCTGGGCCCTCTCAAAATGTTAATCTTACTTTCAATAAGAAGAAACACAGTGTTAAAGAATTATGTCTTAACTAAATCTGTTACAGATATTAATAAAAAGATGTTAATGGCTTGTTCAACAATCTGAGGACACGCTGAATGGGCACATGAAGGAACTCTAACATCTAATGAATCAAAGAAAAGTATTGCATTTATTTTAAAAAGCATCAGCTAAATAAGCCCTGAAAAATAAGTTGAGCAATGTATAAACTGTCACTTCATTTTTTTTCCTATTATAAAAGTCTCTGTTCATACAAAGATATTGAACTTCAGTAGAAGAGAAGTCAGTCAGACTTAAATATTTTTCAAAAAGGCAAATTTTAAAGTGAAAGTTTAAGTCAAAAAGTTAGTCAACATATCAAAAGACAGCAACGTCAAACTCAAATTAGATTGTGAAAATATGACTGAAGAACGCCGTGTTGTGATTCACCCACACACCATGCAATGTATTTAACACATATTGTGAATGATATTTAAATAACATCTAAAGCTCATACGGTGTATGAATGAGTGTTTCTTTTTTAAACTTTAATGTTAGTATGTTAATGGTTTTAATGGAAAATAAAAGAGCATGCACAACCCATACACCTCTACCTTAGATTGTTATCCAACATAAAACCGAGCTTTCATAACCCCACAATAAAAAATTTAATTCGTTTAGTAATACATAGGGTTAAATTAAAAGAAAATAGACCAATTGCAAGCCTATATAATTATTTGTGAAAATCATAACATGTATGCCATTGACTGAAAAAAGACATGCTGAAAAATGAACTTTGACATGTTCCATACAAATTTCTTTTGTGGTCGGAAGGAATTTATGTTAATGACACAGATGTTTCGCAGCCCAAACAGAGGTCCTTGAACTGTGTTCCTTTTATAAGTCAAAAAACTGCATCAGCAGCAGAGATGACTGTTTTTCAGATATCCATCCTTCACAACATTGTGGCTAGAGTATTTCCATCTAGTCCTTTGTAATCTTTGCACATGAATACACCTCCAGTATCCATTTCATTAAAGTGTCCCCTCATCATCATCAGCATCATGCTGGTGTAAATCTCCGCTCCGCTTTGTCATGTGTCAGTGACGCCCGTTCGTACTGTTCCAGGATAGCACTATTCTCAAGAAGTCTACATGATGGAGACAATGCAACATAAAGTACAGCATAAGCAGACACAGACACATTAAGACAGCACATTTCTCACACTAAGAGACACAACAATGAGTAGTAATTGTTGGAACGACTTCATTATATGCACACATGAAGTTACAACCCTTTAGAGCACAATCACATTTTACTTCAATTTTCTTTTGACTGAATCAAACTATCCGGGATCAGTTAGATTAAAAAAATAACTCAACAGTTCTGTACATTACTACTGGGTGCTTACAATTTCTTGTGCCACTTTAGGGTTTTTGCAACTTTATGCAAGCAATGTCATGGAGCATTTGCACATAAAATATTACACACAAACATAATAAGAAGAACTGATATGTCATGCAATTTTATAAGAGGATCCCCATGTAGGTGTAACTGACGGCATAGGGGATCTCAGCGCGCTTTATTAATTAAGTGCATAATTGTTCTCAGACTTAAAAATCTAGAACTGTGTTTGATTTTAATTTCTGTGCTTCGATCATAGCAAATTAGGTTTCTCTATGCTGACTATATGAATGTTTTTCTTTTTGCATGGATCATTCCTTACCAACTTAAACTTTCCCATCTCAGACCAATGGTAGCGCTGAAAAAAAATGTCAGTGAAAACTTTTCGGACTTTCAAAAATTAAATATTAAGTTGTAATTTGTTCTAAATTTGTGCAAAATTAATGTTTGCACTCATTTTACTTATCTACAGACACGTTATTTGATCAACCCACTATTTCAATTTTTTCCTCATTTAATAATTTTTTTGACCAAAACATTGCACCCAGATGACCTTTAATGTGTTGTAATCATAGATACTGACATTACAATCTGATGCCATTTGAGGTGAGACAGTGTCACCAGTGAAGATCCCATGTCACCACAGAACAGGGTTTATCTAAGAGAATTTGGGAGTGGAAGGGTGAAAATTGCTGTTCCTGACCTTTATCCTATTGAATACTTGTGGGATCAGCTTGGGTGTACTGTTCATGACACAATGACCAGCACAAGCACAGTGGCTGACCTGTGACAAATGATGATTGAAGAATGAATGACACCCCACAGCTGTGCGTGACCAGGCTGGTGACCAGCACAGAGAGGCGATGACAGACTGTTTTTTAACAACCCAAACCCACTACAAAACCTGTCTGCTAACTGAAAAAATTGTTATATTGCTACTCTTGGTGGTCAAACTTCATTCTTGAAATCCAAAAAATTAAACCAAACAAGCCAATAATAGAATAAGCTGTTTAACATTGGCAGAAATAATTCTCATGGTAATAATCCAATGTTAAGTTGCATTTGGCTACACTGAAAATTATTTAAAATAGTAACAAACAATACAAAGATTAATGTTTTTTTAATTTGATGAAAAATATGAGTTTGTCTTCTCTATGATGCCAGAAGTCTTCAATCTACCAATGAGGAGAGTGCAAATTGGTCATGTAAGTTGGCAAGGAATGATCTGTGATTCTACTTGGATAAATAATAGCGTTATAACATTTTAAGTTGTATCAGTTTCAAGAAAAAATGTGTAGAAGTCCATGGTAATGCATGTGAAAGTGGTCATTAGAGAACAAGCTTTTTAATGATGAACATACTCACTTTAAAAGCAAGATGGCTACAAGCAGGAAGACCATCTTGATAAACAGTAAAAAAATAAATAAATAAAAAATACATACAAAACTGAACTGGTGAAATTATCAAAAAGCCCATGCAAAAGTCACAGAAAAGGAAAAATAAAAAATTAGACAAAAGTATATACTGACAGGGGAGATGTCAATTACACAACAAAAAAGGTGGTGAGTGTTAGATAAGAGTGCTTACCTTGGGATTGTCTCCTAGACCCTAGTTGTGTTGTACTCTGATTCATGTTTGCTCAAAGAGCCAATGAGGCAGAACCTGAAATGTTATGTCTCTTTCATTTAATATCAAACTCATTTTGCATAGAGGTTAGAATGCATTATGTGCTACACACTGCAAATGTAATAAACTTAATTTGTCATTTGGTGGGCTTAAGGAGCCTTGCATGCACAACTGTAGATAATCATTACAGCACAATCAGGAATATCCTGGAATGAGTACATAGAAAGTGCATGCGAAGTTCATATAAAGTTTCTTAAATGCTCTATGATTCCTTCATTCAGTATTTTTGTAAATACAGCAGTTTTCAATCCATCTAGATGCAATTACAACATATTTATTTTTCTTAATAAAATAGAAGCTAATGTCAAGAGAACATATTTTCCTTATCACAGTTTGGAATCAAATGTATATTTTGTAATTTGCATTATTGTAAAAAAAATATGTGGAATTTCAACAAGGCACCGATTTAAGCCCTTTTGATTATTGTCAGATTAGATACTAAACAACTGGCATCAATGACAATAAAAATGACAAATCTCAAAGAACAGGCTGAATTAAATATAGCTGTCAAATACATATGAACAATTATCGAAAGTTAACTGGGATGCGTTACAAGTTTCAGGATGAGCATGCGAGATGAGACATACTGTATTTAGCCCTTTGTTAGAATTTGGGATGGCAAAAAACAGGTGAGTAAAGAGGGTGAACAGAAAAGTGAATGGTAAAATGATAAATAAAAAAGGAAGACTAAGAACAACGCTCAAATAAAGCAAACAAACAAACAAAAAAAACTAAACAAAAACAAAGGTGAATATTTGTTGCACATTTCAAACTTTGTCATTGTTAACTATGGTGCAGCTGTTCCTTCCTCATCAGAAATCTATGGATACTGACCGCTGTACTGCCTTTTCGTGGCGCGACAGTCGGTGGCTCGTCGTGGGAACTTCTTCCAGGTCATCGTCCAGGTCGCACCCATTGTCTGCCGCTTCTTGCGAGTAGCTGTGCTTCATGACTAAGATGCTTCTGCGGTTCCCTGTGGTTGGCAGCAGCGGCCGCACAGACATGGGCGGCTGTGGAAGGTCTGCAAGCAGAGCTGCCGCGGCCCCTGAGTCACGGGCACTTAAGTTACTCCGGCTCCCTCGCCCACTCAGCGATAGCTGCGTTATGTGCGTGGATCCAGGGCAGGAGGGGGAGCCACAGTGATGGTCATGGATGCAGCGGGAGGAGGCCTGGCGGAGGGCATGGTAGTTCTCAAAGTCCTCCGCCAAGTCAACCAAATCTGCAGAGGCTGCTGTGGGTGTGGCAGCACTCCGTAAAGTACATAGCTCATAGTGAGGGGGCTCGAAGACCTCCTGAAACATAGTGGGGTCGAAGTCTTCTCGTCGTAAGATATACTTTTTACGCGGCTGCTTTATCTGAACAATTACTGAGACAATGAGGAGGATGAAGACGATGCAGCAAGTCACACCAATTATGGCCCCATTTGTGGAATTCAGATTGTCCAGGAATTTGGTATTAGTTTTCTCTGCAATGGTAGAAACACATAAAAACCTATATGAAAAAAGAAGAATCTCATGATAAATACGAATATTATTTTCTCAGTAATAACAGAGTGAAGACAACACATTGAGTGTTAGGTCATTAGATAACATAGTTAATTATCTGGTCACACTTTCCCAGTGTTCACTTCTGGTAGGTATATGTGGTATTTTATTAAGTCGCACAGACTCAACCGCCCCACCCCCCAAAAAACAAAACAAAACAAAAGGGATTGAGTATTTACCCTCATTAATAAAAGCTCAGATGTTCCAAAAAGAAGTTGCACCTCAATTTTTTGCACCTATCAAGCATCAAGCATTAATTCCTCTTTTGTTACTGGAAATGGTAGAGTTAATTAAGGTTAGTTGGTACCAGTAACAATCCTGACTTTCAAGCATGACTCAAATTCTGCAATTGAATGCTTGTTAAAGATTTGGAAGTGAAGGAGTATAAAAAAATCAAATAAACTCCTAATTGTAGACTATTTACATAGTTTTCTTTACCAATTTAATCTTGATTTATTCTTGTTTACCATTACTGTCTCTTCTTCGTCATTATGCATTTTTTCAGTGCTTCAAACCAACATCAGTTCTGCTAACCACACATATATGTACCTCACTTTTTCCGCTCTTTGCCTTCAGTAGCTTAATTATTTTTCTCTATTGTGCTTTGGTTTTGCCTTTATCTTCCATTTTTCTTCTCTGTGAAGCAATATGTGTTAGGCTCAATGCGTACAAATTATTGATTGAAAAAATGTTCTGACATTCTCCAACAGAAAGATCAGGCAAATAAAGAGCATAAATTAGGGAAAAAAACGGATGTAATCATTAAAGAGGAGTGGCCAGTTCCTTTTGCATGCTTCACACAACTGAATAAAAATGTCACTTTAAAAATACATCCATTGTTTTTGTTAATGGCATGAGTATCAGTAAAGAGTAATTCCAACAAACAGTGCATATAACACCAATCTGTACTCTGACCACTGACATTTAGATGCTGGATGAAATCATAGCACAGTGCACAGAGCATCAGTGACAGTAATGGGTTACATTCAAAGGAATGAAAGGGAAAGGAATAAAACTTGACATTTTCACAGTAATTCAAAATATTGTGGACGTAATGCATTACCACAGCAGAAAAACGCTGGAACGATGACTGGAAATCCCACGGAGCTTCTTGTTTTTTATTTATTTATTTTTTTATTTTTTGCATCATTCAGATGCAAACTATGCTGTATATTTACCAGGAACAAAACAAGGCTTTCTGTTCATCTTTTCGGTAAACCAGAAAAATGAAAATGGGGCATCATTGGATCTTTAAGAAGGATAATGAGCCAAATTAACCTTCTGCTATGGTGATGTCAGACCCAACGCTGAAACTGTATGGAGTGCAGAACTTTTACGATTTCTTTTTCTTAATGAAGAAAAACATATGCATATTCTGAATTGCTACTTTTTTAACCAGAGGGCCATTGTTGACAAAAGTGACAACTCTTAGTGTACAATTGAAGTTGTGGTGACAATGTGTATAAAGGATGAGAAGGCTGAAAGATTGGATGAGTTGAAATGACTTTGCCTTTCCCTTCTGTCGTAATGTGTGAAAAAAAGGCTTTGATGATACAGCATTATTTCAGACTTTTCATGTTAATATGAAGAACTAGGTTTTTTATTTTTAATTGGCAAAGAAGCACATTACCTAACACCCCAAGCACTTGACATGCTTATTTGTAAGCCTTTGTCAATACAAATTGTCCTGGTGTAAATACTAAAAAAATATGATGGCATGCTGTTGCTGGGAAAAGGACCTATATATGGTTTACAACTTCTTACTAAGCATGTAACTAAAGGCCAATTTTACTGATGTAAAAGGGACCCACACTGCATTTAATTTTCTTAAAATCAGAACTGGGATATTCTACACTCTACAGAGATTCTGTAAAACACAGATCAATTTTCATAAGTCTTTATATATATATTTAAAAAAAACCCCAAACATATTTTTGCAGCTTTCCTGCCTTTTGGGAGACCACAAGGGTTGTTGGAGTGTAGAAACATGAGGCCATTCAAGCAAGAACAACCACTACCAACATTGTAAAAGTTGGTTATTTTTATAAATGTTCCAAAGTGATTCAAAGTATCTTAAAGCAGCTTAAAAATAATGACATTCAGCAAGCTTCCGTTTCTTGCTCTGTAACTGTCTCAACAATTTCTAAGCTTTTCCTCAAGCTAAATGCTTTAGCAATCAAAGGCTACCCGCTCCAAAAGCTAGGTAATTGCATTGTGTGATTTATTGAAACACTGTTAATTTAATTGCCAGGGCCAAGACCTCTGTGTTCATCCACTTCATCAAGTGAACCTGTTTTTTTGGCCTGGTCATATAAAGCAGACGTCTCTTGTTAAAAATTAATGGGTCCAATTGGTGCCAAGACAGAGCAAACAACTATTGAACACTTGTCCGGTTTGATCTGGATTTTTAAATAGGCAGTGCACGATGACAGCCACTACTGAAAAAGTACCAGAACAGATATTGGGATAAATAAGTATAAAAAAAAATAATAAAGTAAAATAAAATAAAATAAATTTTGTAGCTTTTATGCTACAAACTGCATTTATGTGCATTTATGCAACATAAATCTTGTCTTGTTAATTTTTTTTGTATTTTGTACTTCAGAGCAGCACTACTTCAACATATTTTTACTTATCTAAAAGTAAAAAGTAGCCATTCAAAAATTACTCAATAAAGAGTACAAAAACATAAAGGCCAAACATAGAAGCATGTGTACAAACAATAAGTTTCTACTATAAGTTTGTGTGATTTTGGGTTTAAAACATGTTTTTCCACAGTTAGTGAAGTTACTCGGAGTAGGTACGATTTAAAAAAAATAATAAAACGCATCTATCCAGCCTTAAAATTTCGTACACATCTGAATCTCACCTTTGCATTGATTCTCATCCCAGGGGTAGACACAGTTCTGCATGCCATTGCACACCAGAGTGTAGTTTATGCACATGTTACTGTGACAAAAGAAGGCATCAGCATCACATGGAGCTGAACAAGGGGAAAAAAAGAAGAGTTATCAAACATTAACATCCAATAATTTATGAAAGAAACATTGACATTTGACCTGTCCCTTTAAATCTGATGAGACACATGTTCACATTTTACAAGAGTAAGTCTGAGAAATAATATTTGCTAGAGCACAAAGTTGCATTTGAAGTTACAGATGGGGAGAAGCTGCAGTGTGCCAGGTTTTTGAGGAAAAATATTTGGATCAGTATTACTCAGATCAGATCAGTTCCCTCTGCACACATCTGTTCTTCATGAATTTTCATCATTGCCCTTCTCTTCACAAACATCTTGGGTGACAACTTGAGGATACAAATTAATTTCTCAGAACATATCCATATTATGCTTGTATGAATTATGTGACTTTTCAAAATCATCCAAGCCTGAATAAAACCATTCCTGATGACTCCAGGTGATTATTTTCCCGTCCTTCCCTCAACTTTCATCAAGAATCACTGATTATTATGGAGCATAGAGTCTACTTTAGTAACAGGCATGTTTAAGCTAGAGCTTTTGATATCTTCACCTTCCTGCGGTGACTGTTTGTAACAGAGTCATCAGTCAGCAGGAAAAAGACATGAAATCAATATGGAACTGTTGCTAGCGCCATTGTCATATAAATGTATAAGTGAAGGTTCAGAATTAAAAGTCAAGGTGACCTTGTTCTCCCCAACCAATCACACTAATGCACAAGCCAGATGAATGGTCAGTTCACAGCTCTTAGCAGACAATTCTGGAGAAAAAAAAAACAAAAAACGATGGCCAATCCTTAATGTATCAAGCATGCAAATGATCCATAATTACATTACATGTTTAGACATACAACAGTTTATTTATTCCTCATTTAGTCCATAAATAACAAAGAAGGATGCCAATGTAACATCCTAAAAATGTTTAAATAATTTATAGCATGCTTTTTTTGATAAACCAGACATCATTTATTAATGGGTGGAGTTTTCACCAGTATCTAGAGTTTAATTCATCAAGGACTTCACCGGAGCAGCCAAAGCTCTTGTCAGCTTCTTACTTTATGTATGTTTGGGTTTATGTTGGAATACAGTTTTTTCAATATTCTACCCCTAGTAAAGTCACAAAAAAACATCCTTAAAATGAATTAATATTTATTGCAGTATCATAATGACACATGGCAAGCCTTTTTTTCAGTACATTTATTGAGTAAGGGGAAAAAAAAAAGTCTTGCTAAAAATGTATTCTATTCTGATAATCACCTTTGGCACAATTGATGGTGCAACCAAAAAGTTCAATAAAACTAATGGAACACAAGCATTTTTGTTTATACTTTACTTTTTAGTGTCATTGGATGCAATAGTTCCTTATATGCTGTTTTCAAATAAGACCTGACACAAACATACATTAATTTTAGCCCCTGGCTTTTAGTCTGTGTAATATATTCATTGGTAAAGTGAGCAGGATGATAAGGGAGGTCAATCTCTAAAGCCTTCTAGAAACTGCAACAAAGAGTGTTGTTGTGGAGTCACTAAGTTTACACAACAACAGGTGATATCTGATTGCCTAATGGATCAATGGAAATTAAGCCCGAAAAAAATGCATTTTTTTGTTCTATCACCACAAACCTAAACAGATGAAGTCTTACTCTACCAAGATGAAGTAAAATCTCTACCAAGAGTTTAACTGAAACTATGCAATTTGATCACACAAGAACAACAACAAACTTTTCAGTGAAAGAAACGGATGAAAAAAAAACACTTCGGGTGATTCTGGTGTGAAACAAAAGATAGATGTGTTGGAAAGCAGTGTGCTTATCATTAAGTAGAGTGGAGGACCTGTGATGCTGTGGGTCTATTTTTATTCCAAATTCAAAACTTGTTAGAGGGTACAGATTACAGATTCTAAAATATCAGGATACTTTAAATAAAATCTGGTGGCCTCTACCAGTAAACAGAAAGTGGGCCAGCTGAATGTGCAGAAGAGAAGAGTTCATAGAAACCAGGACTTCAAAAGCTATATGGAAAATACAGAAAGAAAAATATTAATATTATATCAAGATATCTTAATGAATGTGTTGTCATATTTGAAAACCAGGTTGTAGAAATGACAGCAATAACTTTAGTAACTAATATTGTGCTTCAAATATGGGATTTCTCTCATGACTTTTGCAAGGCCCAAAATGGAGTCTCAACTCTGCTTAATATGCATACCCCATCTTACTGGCATTTATTTGTATGTGAGGCATGTTGTAAGATGTCTTTAAATAGTGAATGTCCCACAAGTAACTCCTGACACAGAAGGATAATGAATGGCTCTCTTTGGTCATTAGTCGTTTGTTACAGAAGATGTCCTTCCCCTTCTCCTGCCCGTCTCATGTTGTTTCTCCTTATCTCTTTCTTTCTCCTCCCTCTCACATAACACTGTCACTGGCACTGAAGGAGCTTGGCAGAAGTGTGGCAGAGCTGGGGACTCTCTGTCAGTGTTACCGCTGTGATGTATGGCTGTTGTTATTTCAGTTCTCATCCCAATTGAGTAACAACACACACAACAAAAATATACAGCATCTTATCTCTTTTTCATTCTCCTACGCATCCCTCCCGGACCTTTGCCATAATATCCTGAATCAAACTATCCTCTCTGTGTGTATCTGAAAGCTCTAATTTTCATTCAAAAATTCTCCGTATGTATGTTGATCTGGTTGTCAGAGAGTGCAACGTCCTACATTATGTGCCAAACCTCTGACAGTTTGTTCTAGTTGCCAGCCCCTAGAGGGAGCCCACGTCATCTCGTTTTGCCATTTCCTGTTTCTTCTATTCTCCTCGAGATGACACCGGACATAAAGACCACAGTCTGCTCTTATCTTCAGCTAAATTAATTTCGGGACATTTTGTAATAAATGTGCCCATTTGCCCACAATTAAATGTTCACAGTCACTAGTGGAGAGACATAAATTAACTCCCGAGTGTCTGGAAGAAGTCTTTGGGTGTCTGCAGAGCCAAAAAGGGTCTTTTGCTGCAAAGTAGAAAACCGGCTTGTTGAGAATCTTTTAACTGAAAAAAGTGAATGGCAATTTTTATTTAATTGCTAGCTCTTTGCATTGCAACGGTATGCAAACAGCATAAGATTGTAATGCTCTTTGAATACAGCCTGGTACTGTGTTTCTGCGCAATGTGAATGAAGCACCCTTCATGATTACTGGCACCCTTTATAACAATACATCTAGCTTTTATTGCAGTTGCACAATCTTACACTGACAAAAGAAGCAAAACATAAACAAACAAAAAAAAAAAAAGATTTGTCACCACATTTGTCCAAGTCCACATATCTTTTTCTGATTCTAATATGCAAACATTTTTAAAGTAAAAAAAAAATAATAAAATGCAGTTGAACACAGCTGAATGTGTCACACTAATCACTAAACAAAAGACCCCATGTACAACTTGCTGAGCAGAGACATAGAGTGGCATTGGAATTCTATTCAAGTTGTTTGCTCAAAGTCTGAAATCTGTGAACAATTTGCTTAATATTTATTGATTTTGCCTTAGTACACAAACTGAGTTTAGTGCAGACTCTTAAAGAATGAATGTTTTTAATTTTCTATTCTGTGTGATCTTTGTGGAGCACCATGCTGGTGTAGTGGTGATCACTTTTCCCTAACAGCAAGAGTTTTTGCTCACCTCTTACAATGAAAATTTAATGGATGGAAAATTATGCTTTCTTCACAAAAATGAGAAGTTTTCACCTATTACTGTAGCTCCAATACTCAATTTGCCTTCTACGAATCATCCATCCCTTTTGTTATTAATCTTGATTTATCTGAGATGCAGTGAAATACTCCAGTCCAACCTGCAGTGGCTTCTTGACTGCAACTGAAGCTGGGATAACAAGTGTACACCCAGGGAATAATCTGATCAAAACCATGCAAAGATCCCACTACTAAGACAATTGAGTGAATTTATTTAGAAATTGCCGTACAATGTTGGTTTCAAATGCGTCAGTGCACTCCATAAAGAAGCTTTCCAAGAATAAAAAAAAACCCGAAGTGATGTGTGTAGTGAAGCCAGAACAAATTTCCATCTGCAACCCCAGAGACGTGTTGCAGATGAGGTGAAACAATGCTGACGGCTGAGATGTCACACAGGCACATTTATCACCGAAGACATAATTGCTTCTTGGATGAAGGGGTTTGCTGTCTTATGGCTCACGTTTGTGATTGTGGACTGCAAAGCAGGACTGTATGTGTGTGTGGACAGCATAGAGAGGTCAGTTTGAATAAAGGAACGCTCTGCACAGGAATACGAAGCTGTATTGGAAAACTGTAAACAGTTCTCTAAAAGCTGGTGGTTCCACTGGGAACAAACAAACAAATATGTTTAACATCAGGATAGGCTTTGCTGTTAGCTGCAAATCCCCTTCAACCTTTTGGTTGCACTAGGTGGACTTATTTGGAAATTGACCAATCATTAGTGATTTGCTGTTTTTTTTTTTTTTCTTATCACAGCAAACAACACGAGATATTAAAAGAGGTTGCCCTTAAATGCATCTACCATCATTAGGGAGCCAGAAATCCTGAAATCTTGAACATGTAAAATATGGACAAATTATAGTCTGCGTTTTCATTGTTCTTCAAAAGCAGATACATCATTACAAACAGACCTTTCAAAAAAAAAAAAAAAAGATTTGAGTCACACCCACTGAAACAGATTACTACCAGACATGAATATGACAGAATTTTTAAAAATTGTTCATTATGGAAATCCCTCACATTAATTACTGCATGGAATGTTTAACTAAAAGATAAATATATTTAAATTGGATGTGTGAAGATGTTTTGGTAACAGAAAAAAAAACAGAGGAAAGATTTTCTCTGTCCCCTTTTATTTAAAGGGAAAAGCTGAGAAGAGGACATAACACGGTTCATAGGATAACTGAGACAAACGGTGTGAAGGGCAAAATCAGTCAGAGGTCATATTCGTGAGCATAAAGTCAGGGAAGAGCATGTTTAAGTTTGTAGTGTTTTTTATTTTTTCATTTTTATGTGTCCACTGTCAAGGCAAAACATCAATTTAATCTCTCCAATAGACATCATTGCACAAACATTAGTTTCAACTCTGACTATTTTCATTTTTAAATCCAGTCAAAAAGCAAATACTGACTTCCTCCTTCTCACTTTATAAGATGGCATATTGAAGTAATCAAACTTGAGCTGGAGACTTTGCCATCACTTTTTTTGCTGTGAATAGATCACTCTTCATCAACTTTTATCAACATTCTTAACAGACTTGTTTGCTTTTTTCTTTGACTTCTTTTTGACATATTTCTTAAATTTGGCAATGAAATTAACTAAAGCTACTGCAAGATGCAATACTATTTTAAAGATTATGTCATACGCACTTAATCAACCTGGTACTTTTTTCAGCGCATCTAATTTGTGAGTGAACTTTAATGGTTTGCAAAAAGAAACAGTCTATAGTAAAGTTGACTAAATGATTTGCTCTACCACTTTGCTTTGAAGTGATCGAACCCATCTATGCATTCAGCGTTGACAGAGTTGTTGTGGAACTGCTCAGCTGTGGTCGATGCTGCTCTAAATGTGAGGTCTGGAAGAGGACTTCCCGAATGACTTAGACTGAATCGTTGCCCCGGCAACAGCCCATCATGTCTCTGCATGGTGAAAAAGGTCTTCTATAGGGACGCATACAACACATCGCAGGTATTTCCAATGCGAGTGGTGTTGCCTGTCCTTACAAAAAGCATGTGTCCTGCTGTAACAATTCATGTAGAAAAGCAAAAAATATCTACATAGTCTTATTCTTTTATATGAAAAAAGTGGTATTTCCTTATTTCAATCACTCTCTTCTACCACAATTTGTTGCATAAGACAAGTCCAGCTGACGTTTTGTACCTTTTAATATACAGATATTACTCAGACATACGTTCCTTGAACTGCCTATTTTGCTTTATGAATTTCCCTGTTTTTCTAATGAAACCCTGAACATGACGACTTCTGGCTTTTCATTCTATGTCAGCTTCCAAAAACGTTTACTTTGACATAAACACACCTGAGCAAAGTTACATGGATGCAAGTGTGGTTTTTGTGAAATCTTACGTTCTTGGTAGGTTGTGAAAAGGATGCGGAAGCGGCTCTTGCGGCTGAGCTCGTCCGCCCACATCCGGATAACTCCCAGCGTGGAAACCAGCATGATGTCGTTGGCCACTGTGGAGCAGAATTTGCTCTTCAGGTCTTCCACAGAGCTTAAAAAGAAGGATATTAGAATACACATTTTATTGCAAAATGGACATTACCACCACACCTCTAAATTGAGAAGGTGGGAATAATTAGTATACAGGTTGACTGCTGGCTGTAGCAGGGACTGACTGATGGGAAAGCAGCTATTTTGAACTGTGCTATGATGCTGGAGGGCTAATAAACCAGCTTTGATTATTGTACAGCCAAGTTTGCTGATTTCTTTTTCCCTTTCACACCACACCTCACTGTAATGCTGTTCACCAGTATCCTATCAGGACAGCACATTTCTGGATTAAATTACTTCCGATACGGTATCGAGGGAACTCAAGACTTGAGTGTCACAGTCAAATTTTTAAATATGGTTTCTGTTTCTGGAGAACAGATTGCAATCTCAGCAATTATAGTTGGATTCTTAGACAAAACATACAGTGAAACAAGATAAACCTTTATGTTTTTTGACATTTTTTATTTATTTATTAATAATTATCATTCACAATATGATAATGTAAAATCTGTTATGTCAAAACTTTATTTTATTTCAATCAACCAATCAAGCAATCAGTTTTATCTATAAAGCACCCTTCATGTTGGAGGAAGCTCGGTGGAAACATATAATAAAGGGTATTTCTGGACTAGCCAGGGGAGTCTCATTGCTATTCTTTGCTTAATTTCTTAATAAAATAATAATCAAAATGCATTTTGATTAATTCTTGATTGACTCAGTGTATTTATTTCCTTATCAAGTCTTAAAACAACTGCATTTGAAGTTTACTCGTGTTGGCTCTGACTAATATTTCAATTAATTAGATTTCTGGTAATGGAGTGATAAATATGCAAAACAAATTTTAAAAAAATAAAAAAATGAAACAAAGAAAATCAGGAAAGGGGCAAACAGTTCATACCACTATACACAATTTTATTTGAAAATCCTACCTTCCTCCATCATACACTGCTACAAAGTTGCGCTTGCATTCATTGGAGTTTGCCATTTCATAGTCCAGAAAACGCAGATAGATCTGGAACAACACAAGAGAGCAGATTGGACAAAAGCAAATTAACTGGGAAAATGGAACTGTCGTATAAAGGGAAAAGACATATAGCACATTGGAGAAGAATCATCAAAAAAGCTTCAGTTTCAATTTTCTATAATCTTGGAATTAAAACACCTACTTAACACACCTTATCATTTCACATTATTTCCCCTATGCTCCCTGATTGCCTCTTCATCAATGCTGGTTATTCGTTCATCCGCATGAGCTCGAAAAGCATCATAGATATGCTTTGTTCTGTTGTGCACAGCCCTCACCATCATTCCGGGTTAATGAGTGGACAGCTATGACAGGAAAATGTGACACTTTTAAACGCCCAAAGACACAAGCTGCGGATCGGCCAGGATAATGGACTTCGCAATGACAACCTGGCTTTGACAACATGACAAGTGAAATGTATCGGAGCACAAAAACAAGCTAAATGCTTCCCCTGGGGTCTCAGATAAGGGTCAATAAGCTTTTATTGAGCCAAAAATGGTCAGTGTCAGCTTCTCTATTCTCACATCTACACACTTGTGTGTTAGGCATACTTATTCACAAACACTTGTATGTACAATGCCTTGCAAATTTAATCAAACCACTCAAAATGTTTCATATTTTGTGACACTACAATCATAAATTTAGAAACATTTCAGTGAGATTTTTTGTGATAGATCAATACAAAATAGGTAATAACAGTTAAGTATACAGAACATATTGATAACATAATATGAACATAACTTTTCTGTAAAAGCCTCAGAGGTTTGTTTGAGGATGTAAGCATAAAAGGCAACATTATGAACACCAAAAGCAGAAAGTGGGGACGTATAAAGCAAGATTAGGTTATAAAACAATATTTCACTCATTAATTCTCTACATACCTAAAAGTGAAAAACAGACACAATAGCTAAACTAACAAAGCAAGTATAAAATATTCATACAGTAACTAAGGAGTATTATCTTGACCATCGAGCAATAATATGTAGATACTGGATTGATATCTTCTATAAATATACGTATTTACTAATTAGGTGTCTTCTAGTGAATTTTTTAAAGTGGATTTTAGATAGTTGTACAAGAGTAGAGAGAGCTTAATACAAATGCATTCCTTTTATTGGTCTATTACATCAAATTATAGCAAAATATATAGATGCTTTTAGTTACGTGTCGTGACCAGAGTGTTAAGAATAATTGGCCATGTACACACAGTAGATGTTAAGAAATGTGTTTATTATACAGAATGCATTAATAGAATCAAATTTTGATATTTACACCTGTATCTTAATCAATTTAATGATGTCAAATCTTTAAACATCTGCTGAATGGACAAAGTCATTAACAGTCTGATAGATGATGCTGTGCCGCTGACTGAAACATTGGCAAAACAGCATAATTATCTGACAAATAAGCTGAAAGGTGAACACAAATGAAAGGAATTGAATGCTTTTTTCAGCTGCTCTTTTGATAAACTGACTGAAGAAAAATCCAAGGCAAAACAATGGCAAAACACAAAAAAGAAAGATGTATTCAAAAAGTCCGAATTATTTGATCTTGGAGTAAAAAAAAACTGCTGCTTCCTTAATAGCAATAGCCAATAATGGTGAAGACTCAATCACTAACCAAAGAAGATAATGTTTTCTCTGTGGCTAAAAGGTGCCCAGAAAACACCGTGCTGCTCCGTACAGTCAGAGTGATCTTTGTCTTCATAAAATATAAACAAAGTGTCAGAAAGTTCAGATAGATGTGTTGAAAAGATATAGACAGGACAAACTTGTTACATGGTGGAAATAATCTTTGACACTCCCAAGAGCTGCCAGGTATACTTGGACATCTGTCTAGGCAGAAATAACAAGAGGGGGAAATGTAGCTGAAAAAAAACAAACAAACCAAAAAAAAACACAACCAACAGACATACATGTATGTGCAGTCTGACGTTTTATTTTTCAGGCTTGTGTCTGATTAAATGTTCTTTCACGATGCCTTGGATACCAGTAAAAGCTCATTAATTTAGATTTTTTTCTCCCCCTGTGGTTGCTACAAATTCTCTTTATGAAAAAAAATGATGTTCAGATGACACATGCTGGTGTAAAGATCTAACATCATCATTAAAAGTGGTGCATTGCTGTCACTTTTGGCAACAACACATGACCATTACTGCTTTCTGCAGGTGTGCCTACCCTTACCATGACTCTTTCTCTCTCTTTGCCATCTGCCTTTTACACTTAATCTCCATCCCTTATACATTTAGACCCTAGATAAAATGCATTATTTAGCAACCCCGAGCCCCCTCCCCTCTTCCTTTTCTGCACCCCGTTTCTCCTGCCTTCTCTCTGGAGTCCGCCGGTGCAGTCTAATTAGAGCCTCCGGCATAGGATGTCATTATCTCTCTACTGTTTCTGGCACACTGGCAACAGTGCAGCACTGTAAGAGCATAGGGGGTTTTGAACAATTTGCCAAGATTACAGTACAGCAACATGTATGTAACATATAAAGTAAGGGAGGTGGGTAACATAAGCCTATGTCTGCACTCTGACAGAAACATGGACAGAGGTTTTACACGCTTCATGAGTTTTGCAGATAGAACTAGTGAGAAGTTTAAAATCGTGAACCTGTAAAAATTGAATCATGCTTGAAAATGCATTCGCGTTCATGTCTATCAGTGCCAGTGAGTGAAAACCTTTGGCCCTTGACTTGCCCTATGATGTAATTTTGCAGCATGATATTTTAAACTGATTTCAACATTATAAAATATATCACTTTTCAATGGTCACGTTATGTTGGTTTTTCATGAATCACATCTATAAATTGGAAAACTGACTCACATTCTTTGGTATGCATACAAATATTGCACTGCACGAGAATCAGTTACAGTGTAATATCCATGCTGAATAAATAATAATAAAAAAATCAGTCTTGTATCAATAAGGGCCCAGCCTCCCTCTGCCTTCCTTTCATTTTTTTACTACTACTTATAGCACATCCCCAATTGGCCACTGATGATTCAGAAAAAGTCTGAAGGTGGTGCAATCTTATAGCTCCAGTGGCCTTGACTTTTAAAGCAACTGAATCAGAAGGGCATTTCTGATGGAAACAAAGGCATTAGTGGGAAATATGCTACCCCAAAGAGGATGCCAGATAAGAACAGCTGCTGCAGCCATGAATCATTGCCATACCATTGTTATCAGCCAGCCATATCATAAACCAGCATGCATATGCGTCAGAAGAACCTGGGACATAAAAGAGCAGGAGGCTATTCTCTTTTCTGAGAGCCTAAGCAAGTCCGAATCAACCATTACTTTAGCTAAGAATCATCCAGCTTATTGTCATTTACTTTATTGTTAGGGAAAACATGCCGCAGAAGAAACACAGAGTATTGATCTGAGTGAAGCTACAGTGAAATTTACTGGTAGGAGACATAAATAATTTTTCTACCTTTAAAAACAAGTATGACTCAAGGTAAAAAAAAAAAAAAGCATATGATTAAATATTTCATTAGTTAATAATTCAAAACAATTCAAACATTGCATACTTGAATTGTAAAAAAACAAAACAAAAAAAAAACAAACATGTAATTAATCACATGTACACCATTCAATAATCAATGCTCCTCAGCAGTTTTGATGTTATGTTATGGCTGATCAGTGAAACCAACACAAAGCCAGTGAAATATGTGGGGGGGGGGGGGTTCTGCTTGGTGCTCCAGGCTCAGGAGACTTTTAATCCTTTGGCATTAATGCAGCACAGGTAGCTCCCAAAGATAAGGAAGCGAGTCTACAGTGTATTAGTGGCTGGAGTGAAGTTGTGCATGTTTACGAGTGTTGGAGCATATCTGTATTTTTTATGCATGCGGGGTGCGTCCAGACATTGGCATAGAAAACAAATATGGGAAGCCTCAGGGTAAAGGGTCAAACTGCATCGTAACACCATTTCATCAGTGCTAAAACACCTTGTCTTTTTCTGCCCCAACCAAGGCTTCCTCTCTCTCATCCTCTCTTTTTACTCTCCACATCCTTTTGGTGTGTTGTTCCTTTTGGCAACACGGCTTCGATTAGAGAAATGAGCACCTGACCCTAAATAAATTCTTCCGCCTGTTTGTCTTTCTTTCCCGCAGCGACAAAAACCTTCACAAGCAACAGAATATGTTTCTGTGTTGTCTGAAGAGACACAAAATTAAAGCAACTAACTTATATCGTCATCACAGCTGGATGAAGAATAGTTGAGTCACTCACCTTGGAACGGGGTGGAGCACGGATGTACCATTTACAGTCGACAGCCTCAGCGGCACCAGCTTTCCCATCTCTGGTAATTTGATGGGACTCAACGATACCTTCTGGACCAAGCATGTCATACTGACAGGCTGAAACACAAGTGTATGCATAAACACATACAAAAGCAATGTTCCATATATGTAGTCATGAGAAAAAGAAATATTCTGCATGGAAAAGTAATTGGAAATGCTAAGTACACCACATCAATCAATAAAAACTTAAAACACTTATTTTCTCAAATCATAATTTTGTCCCATTCTTTGTAACATTGCTTCAGTTAATTGAGGTTTTCAATGAGATGTTTAAATAGAGATCTAGTAACATCCCACCACAGCATTTTAGTGCAGGGTCCGACAGGGTGTTGACTTTTAAACCTTCCCTATGTTTTTGGAAGGCAAACCTCTATGATCCAGAACAGCAAATTGCCCTCTTAAATGTGATATAAAGGGAGGTGTGAAGGAGCAATCAAACTCTGATGCGGGCCAAAAAAACACTGGTCCGCCTAAAATCCTAGGTCTTGGTTCAGTAGAAGTGAACTCTGGCAGTGTTTGAAAGCATATGTAGATATAAACAGACCACAGAGTGCTCCAAAAGCAGGAAGCGAACTATTGTGCAGGGCATTTTGGTTGAATATAACCGAAACTAATGCAAGACTCGAACTCTAGAGTGAGAAATGGCTTGTGGTATTTTACCAAAGACAAAGTGAAATCTTACAACCACTAACATTTAACGCTACTCTATTTTTGTTTACATTTTATGAAGAAAGAAGTTGTACTCTTGTCTTCTTGGAAATGTCACAAACGTTGCAGTATTGGTCCCCAATTGAACCGAGTCATTCAGAGTATCAGATGTGAAAACATCCTTAGTGTTTTACTGTATTATATCAACATTCATTGAAAGTAAGAACAAATGTACATCTTTTCTCCATTGTAGGTGGTTTACTGTGGTGTGTAAATTGATTGATGGATGGATGAATGGATGCTACAGGTACATATGCAAACATTGCAACATTGAAAACGCAGTTTTTACAGAGCAGCACTACAAGCCTTAGGAAGAAAAAACTGTGGTAAAACATAGTGAGAAATGTAATCAGAAGTGAGGCAGAAAGAGAAAAAGAAAAAAAAAAACAGAGGTAAAAACAGAGACTGAGAGAGTATACCTACAGGGCAGAGGTGGGGGTACTCCCAAATCAGCAAAGTCGGGATCTGAGGAGATAGAAGAGGAAACAGAGAGGTGGGGGCATTCATTTTTAATGCCTGAAATAGTTTTTTTTTTTTTTTACAGATAACACAGCAGAAAGTGCAAGGGAAGCCTGTAAATGAAGAATTCACATGCCCTAAATAAATTCTGGTAAAAATCTATATTTTTTATGTGTTTTTATGAATAGGAGAATTATTTTGACAACTTACACCAGTGAAACAAGTATGACTATGGTTACATATTGTTATATTTCACCATATTGGAAAATAATTGAGCATGACTAGGCATTTCCTTTTTTTAACATAGGCTATGTGACTGAGCTTGTTTAAGAATATTATATCACCATAATTACATACTAGGCCATGCCTAATTATATGTGCATGGCTTGCACACTCGAAAGATACATTTTACAGTTGTGATATTAAGACAAAAGAGATGCTTTTGCATTCATAACATGGAAACCATCATCTCTGTCAGCACTGCAGATAGTATTAATATGCTTAGTTCTAATGTACGCAGTTCAACAGAGCTTTAGAGCCACCAGTGTAAAAGCATATCAGATTTAAATGTGGATGTTTTCTGAATTGTATGCAGGTCAGTGAAATTAAAAAAAACAGAAAACACAGACTAAGCAGAATGAGCTCCTGATGCAGAAATAAAATGAGTCGCTACCAGTCAATAACTTTACAAAGCAAAATTTTACATCAGACTCAGTGGATTAAAAACTGAAAAATAAGGCAAAAATAATAAAATAACCAATATATATATATTTTTGGGCTGAATTCATTGTCTCTACCCTGACACGACTGCTCAGATAGAACGTAAAAAAGGACAGCTGAGTAAATTGCACGAGGGAGGTAAAGTTTTGAGTATTGTTGCAATGAGTTGGATCAAAATGGCTGCGATTGATGACACATGTCAAATATTTGACCTAACATCACAGATTCAATGGTACGATGTCTCTAATGTGGTAACAATAGATGTCTGTTGTTACATCTGTAGACACACAGAAGGCATCTAAGCTTCAAGTTGCTCTTTTGTCATCACTTCAGTGGAAATGTTTCTGTTTTCCAGTAAAAGTTTGAAATTGAAAAGTCTGCATTTAGAAATTAAGATCAACTCCAGAAATATTAAAGTGTAATTTACTAATTCTGAGTTAGTACATTAGTTTTTCATATGAAATGTAAATAAAATAAATATTGTATTAAACCAGTTCCATTTGATTTCATTTGATCCCAGCATAGTAACAAAGCGTTTGTGCCTTTAAAGATCTGCAGTCAGTTATGATCTTCTGAATGCCTTCATCTGAGGACGCACGAAATCCACTTGAGGATAAATGGTGACATGGCTACCACTGACTGAGCTCAGTGTGGAAAATGAGCTTTGATTGCACAGCATGAACTCCTTTCCTAAATGCCACTGACTTTTTTTTTTATCTGTGTATGCGCTCTAAATTCTTGGTCTAGACATGAGTCAGTGACTATTTGCTCTCGCTCAGCAGACATGAAAAAATAAGTCGGAAATAGCTTGCAATGAACACCTGGTGATAGAGCAAACTTTGCATAAAAATGTAAATCACATCTCAAATAAGGATAAAATTACTATTAAAGGTAAAGTTAGTTTTTTCAACTAACTGCAGCTATGTTCAGAGTCAATGTCAGTAAACGTTGCAAAGGATAGTCTTTTGATAACCATTTAAAAAACAAGAAGGACTACATAAAATGATTTATAATTAGTGCATCAAAACCTCTCACAAATTATCAGGGATAAAAGTCAATAAGAGATATGATTGAAGTGATATGCTTTTTCGAGGCTTAGATTACTCTCTACGCCTGACTACCTTTTGCTCTCAACATGATTTAAAGTCTATTTCTGCAAAGTTGAACAGCAATTAGTGTATGCTTAGCTGGCTTTAGGTTGTTCAGTGATACTGCACAACTCATTTTCTTGTTTGTTTTTGTCTTATAAGGAAAGAAAGTTACAACTGGACAACTGATTTTGCTCAAGAGCATTTTCCTACTGTCTGCGGGAGAGTATATGATCATTCATCTTTGTATGAGGTATATTGAAAAAATCATAATATGCAGAAACATTTGGCCTTTACATAAAGCATATATTTCATGACAAACTTTGAAGGTTTCTGTACGCTTTACTGCTGCCTTTGTATGCCTGTCTTATTGCTTATGTTTGTGAGAAATGAAAAAAACCAGAGTAGAAGACAGTTAATGAAACATTGATCTCAAGGTCATCTTTGCTGCCTTTTTGAGATATTTCTCATTTGCTTGTGGGTATCATGTTCCACACAATGATCACAAGGCCAGACAGAATGAGAGCACCCTGACAGCACACCTTTAATAAAGGCTGTCTTAATATAAGCAAGAGAGGTCTGACCACAGGACGACAGTGCTTATAAATTCCTCCAAGGTGACCCTTGACCTTTCTAAACTTGAGCAGTAGAATGTTAATGAGACTTTCTCATGTCTCCATTGATCAGCCCCCTTCCTTTCCTGTCTATCATCACTGATTAATAGATCCAATCAATTAGCTGGATTTATGAAATGAATGATAAACTAAATGTCTACTCTCTGTATGAGTGATGATATAACATATTTACAATCTCAGTAAGATTCATAATCTCAGCCAGATCAGTGACACTACATCACAGTGTGAACATTATATTTCCAAAGCTCTGCTGAGTTTCATCACAGCATGTTGACATTATTAATTTGTTTGTTTTGTGCTGTCATTGTCATTAACGCCCCGCTATGAGGTCCCCAATTTCTGCACAGTGTAAAAGGCTTTGTATTAACAGAAGAAATTTAGTGCAAAATGCCACACATTTTTCTCTGTTAAAGTCCAGATTCTTGTACTTTGCTCTGACATGAACATGCTCACTTGAAAGACCAGGGCATAGAGTTGACTTCTAACTGTTTACAATGGACTATCTGTTGAGGTTGATTTCGAAACAAAATACAACAAAAGATACAACAATTGCATGTAAAGTGGTACAAAAATAGAACAAAGTATTTCATGGTTCTGAACTCTGTAGCTGGGAAATGCATCTCAGCGGGGAATCTCAGACCAACAGAACCCTGTCACTGGACTGTCCATGTCTGAAAAACTGATATTTAGCAAATATCTTGAGCCTGTGTTCACTAAGAGGATGACCTTTTTAAGTTGCTTTGCAACATTAGTGTTGTCAACCTAGCTTGTAGCACAAAAAACAAAAAACAAAAAAAACTGTGTCCAAAAAAAGCCAATGTGAACACTATGCAAGCCTTGACTACAAGCAAACATTTTTATGAAATGTTCCGTTATATTTTTTCTAACATATGCCTTCATATGAAAGGCTAGTAAATTGGAAATCTCTGTCATTGACATTAGTGAATTGTTATAATGTCTTATGCCAAGATGAACAGAGTTCAGCTGTGCAGTACAAAGTGTTCCCCTTTAGGCACTCACAAATGAAATAGCATGCTGAAGATGTGAATTTCTAATGACTACAATTCCATAAGTGTTGTATTACTTCTCATAATATAGATATGAACAAAATGTTTTATTAATAAGGTACAATAAATCGCATTTAAAGTTAAATAGCATACTTCACTGCTACACTTGCTACACATCCCTTCGCTATTAACTCTTGCCCCTAATGTATGCATAACTAATGAGTAAGCTCATGATTGTGAGTGTAGAACAATGTTTCAAGAATTAAACATGAGAAGAGGGAATGAGAAAGCAAGGCACTGACAAGCAGCCCACACACAAAACTCAGTTTCCCAGTGGCCTCATTTTCTTTCAACCACTTGGTGGTGACATTTAAATAAGCATCTGATTAATAATCTCTGTTTATGTGGTTGATCGAGTTAATGAATAGCCACCATTAATCACACCAACCACAGAGGTGGATACAGTTCCACTCAACGACCAAAACGGAGCTGCAGGCGGAAAGAGAGAACGAGGTGAAATCAAACAGGGGTGACCGTTTCTCATATTCTTACAGTTCAACTAACATCCAAATCTCACATCAAACCAACACAATACATGCTGGACTGTTTGCTTGAGAAAACATATGTCACTGGGAAAATCTCTTCTAATGAAACACTGCTTTAGAGATTAGCCACATATCTGATGTGGCTCAGCAGGACTTTGTCATCGTTTCAGATGACAAACCATCTGTACTTTGAAAAATTTTATGTCAAATGCGGATGCTGTAGGACCTGCAAAGGACTGATAGGATTTACCACAGCCTGGGTGTCATGGTCAGTGAGCTGGGTCTGTGCCCTGAATGGCGATTAGCGCCAATGTGTACTGCAACGCCATGTAACGAGCATCAACATCTACACATCAGCAGTCCGACTAGAAACTGCACCACACAGTAAAGAAGGAAAAAAAACATGTCTTGCTTGAAAAAAAAAATCTGATGAATATATTTTCCTTGTGAACCTTAGTTCACTTTGTTTTACATTCATACAGACAGCTGCCCTTGACCTCGTAATATATGGTCTGTAACCCTGCAGGAAGAGCTTGTCGCTGGCAAAACTCTCCTGAGTAATTTCCAATCCTACCACAACTATCTATGGTTCAAGTGCCCTTGATTAAAAGCACTTAACCCCCAGGATGTTCTGGTGGAGGATTCCAATATCCAGGAATATCTGTTCAAAGAGAAAGATCCTCTGTCAGCACCTGGAGGACAAACCGTTACATTTTTAGAGGCATATAGATTACAAAAAGGGTGTGATCTTTGTCCTTGTGTTTGAACTAACGATTCATACGATACATTATTGATCTCCATAAGGAAAGCAGTGAATAGAAAAGCACTGGAAGCACAAAGGGATAAAGTGTCTTTCTCAAGGACACCACAGCACGACAAGAATACTACCACATATGCATTGTCATCATGGTGTTTTTAAAGGTGCCCAAAGCACAATTTTCCTGCAAAGGTTTATAGAGACAACACTAAAAGTTTGCTCTTTGCTCTTGCTCCATCAGCACAATGTGCTCA